CTCTTCGTTCAGGATGTTTTATGCAACTTAACCCAGGTAGAACCTTTTCGCCTAGGGGGATCCAGCTCATAGTTCCGGGTAGAAGTACTCTTCGTTTATGATGTTTTACGCAGCTTAACCCTGGTAGAACTTTTTCGCCTATGGGAATCCATCTCATAGTTCCGGGTAGAAGTACTCTTCGCTCAGGATATTTTCCGCAGCTTAACCCAGGAAGAACTTTTTTGCCTATGGGATCCAACTCATAGTTCCGAGTAGAAGTACTCTTCGCCTAGGCTGTTTTTCGCAGCTTAACCCAGGTAGAACCTTTTCGCCTAGGGGGATCCAGCTCATAGTTCCGGGTAGAAGTACTCTTCGCTTAGGATGTTTTACGCAGCTTAACCCTGGTAGAACTTTTTCGCCTATGGGAATCCATCTCATAGTTCCGGGTAGAAGTACTCTTCGCTTAGGATGTTTTACGCAGCTTAACCCTGGTAGAACTTTTTCGCCTATGGGAATCCATCTCATAGTTCCGGGTAGAAGTACTCTTTGCTCAGGATATTTTCCGCAGCTTAACCCAAAAAGAACTTTTTTGCCTAAGGGATCCAACTCATAGCTCCGAGTAGAAGTACTCTTCGCCTAGGCTGTTTTTCGCAGCTTAACCCAGGTAGAACCTTTTCGCCTAGGGGGATCCAGCTCATAGTTCCGGGTAGAAGTACTTTTCACTCAGGATGTTATACGCAGCTTAACCCAGGTAGAACCTTTTCGACTAGGGGATCCAGCTCATAGTTGCGGGTAAAAGTACTCTTCGCTCACGATGTTTTACGCAGCTTAACCCAGGTAGAACCTTTTCGCCTAGGGGGATCCAGCTCATAGTTTCGGGTAGAGGTACTCTTCGCCTAGACTGTTTTACGTAGCTTAACCCAGGTAGAACCTTTTCATCTAGGGGGATCCAGCTCATATTTTCGGGTAGAAGTACTCTTCGCTCAGGTTGTTTTACCTAGCTTAACTCAGGTAGAACTATTTTGCCTAGGAGGATCCAACTCATATTTCCGGGTAGAAGTACTTTTCGCTTAGGTTGTTTTACGTAGCTTAACTTAGGTAGAACAGTTTCGCCTAGGGGGATCCAGCTCATAGTTGCGGGTAGAAGTACTCTTCGCTCAGGCTCTTTACGTAGCTTAACTCGGGTAGAATTATTTCGCTTAGGGGGATCTATCTTATAGTTCCAGGTAGAAGTACACTTGATCCAGGCTTGCTTTTCGTAGTTTAACCTAGGTAGAACCTTTTCGCTTAGGGGATTCAGCATTTTATCAGTAATACAGGATACCAACCCCCGATTATATTTCCTTTTCAGTAATACAGGGCGACAACCTCTGGTTACATTTCCTTTTCAGTAATACAGGGTACCAATCCCTGGTTACATTTGCTTTTTAGTAATACAGAGCACCAACTCCTGGTTATATTTTCTTTTTAGTAATATAGAGTGCCAACTCCTAGTTACATTTTCTTTTCAGTAATACAGGGTACCGACCCCTGGTTACATTCCTTTTCTATAATATAGAGTACCAATCCCTGATTACATGTCCTTACCAGTATAGGGTACACCAATCCGTAGCTATGGTTTTCAAATATAGGGTCTCCACTCCTTTTTCAGTAATTCAAGGCACCAACTCCTGATTACATTCTTTTTCCATAATACAGGGTACCAACCCTTGGTTACAGTTCCTTACCAGTATAGGGTACACCAATCCCTAGCTATATTTTCTAACATAGAGTCTTCACTCCCTAGTTGATGTGAGCTTAAATGCAGGGTACACCACTCCCTGATCTCCTTAGTAGTATAGGATACACCAATCCCTAACTATGTTTTCCAACATAGGGTACACCACGCCCTTGTTGATTTGATTTTAAATGAAGGGTAACCACTCCCTGATATCATTGTCAATAGAGGGTATACCATTCCCTGACCATATTTTCTCAACATAAGGTACACCAATCCTTAGTTGAGGCATCATTTAGACAATCAGGGTACACCATTCCCAAAGAATAATGTTTTTCCAAGGTACACATATCCCGACCTTTTATTGCTTTCAATAATGAAGTAGTATAGAGTTTTATTATAAATAACTCACGAAATTTTCCTAGTGAAAATTAGGGCAGAAAATTTTTGTTTGTTTGTTTTGGTGTCTGAGCAGGTTTTTAAGGCACATGGTTCAAGATGACCAAAAGAAGAAGTCTCAATCCAGAATAAATAAAGAAAAGAAAAAAGAAGTGAATCAAAAATGAAGAAGTGACCGAAAAGATATGGACTGCTCAAGACATGATTGAAGTCACGAGCATTGCACTTCCCGTTTTGATTAGAAGAAGCCATAGAAGAATGAATTAGCACCCACAACTAGCAAGCATCAAGGTTCAAATCAGGGTCTGCGTGAAGAACCCGTCAAGATTCAAGTTTTAGAAGACTTATAAATAGGAATCTCGTAACTATAGCGGATAGGCTTGTTTAGTTTCTTTTGATTTTGATGTAATAACAGGACTACAGATCGGAGCCTCGACAGAACCTCACTTGACTCTCCAACTCAGCATTCTATCATTTTCCTTGAACTACACGCGACTTGATTCTCCTATAACCCGAAATATGTAGGTTGTCCAAACCAGAACTCAGTTGCTCCCTATATTTTATTTCTTTTCCTTTTGAATAATGGTTTGGTCAAAAAATTACTCACATAGCTCACTTTGTCTTTGTCTGAAAACTTCTCATGTTTTCAAGCAAAGAGGGGCATGCTATGAGACCTAATATTTGACCATGCTTGAATTTTTACCACTTATCTCACCAATACCTCACTTCTCACTCCATCTTTCCCGTTTATATCTTCCCACGTGTGTCCCCACTCCACTTTTCCCTGCCTCCTACTCTTTGTCCCCACTCCACTTTCCCTTGTCCCCCACTCCTTGTCCCCCATGCTTGTCCCCCCACTTACAACCCACATATCCTCATTTTTCCTTCAAGTAAAGACACACACGCAAAGGAGGGGGTTGGTCTTCCTTAACTAAAATAATGGCAGCCATAACCTCCTCTAAACAATGCCTCGAAATCCATCATCAAAGGACCCACAAAACCAGCCCCTGTTTTCTTTTCAAAAAAAGCAACAAAAACATCTCTCAAATAAACCAAAAAATTAGCCAAAACACAGATGAAATTTTTCCCTAAAACCAGCTCAAATCCCACCCCAAACGGGCAGCAAAAACAACTGCGAACAGCTGCAAAAACGACCTCAAATTTGTCCCAAAAAACCAACACCAAAAACCGATTGAACACTATCAAAATCCGGTCCCATAACAGCCCCAAATCAGCTGCAAAATCCAGCCCAAGAGAGTAGCAGAATAAGCTGTGAATCTTCTGAAAAAGCTGTCAAAAACCACCAGCAAAGCACCTCATTTTCAACCCCAAAGCGCTGTCAAAAATGCAACAGTTCACCTCCCTAAATAACCTTTAAATACCAACCAAAAGCAGCTAAAAATTCACCACCAAATAGCCATGAAAACACCACAAAACAGCAGCATCAAGAGTTGAGTTCGAGGGCACCGTTTGAAAGATCCGGTCGTCGGTTCCGGTTGAGGTCGCCGTCGAGGTCGTCGCACGATAGCAACTTTGGTCTCAATGTGCCAGTCAGATTTTGATTTTTAGCATGTGAGGTGATTTTGACTCTAAAGAAGGTTCATTTCTCACATTTTTATTTGATTAATTTATGATTGGAAGTCCTATGTCGTGAATCTTGAAGCTAGATGAAATTATGTTTCCCTGATGAGTGTGCTTGTCTGCTTTAATATTTCCCTTTATGTGGACTTCATCTCTACGCATTATTTAAGCTATGCTAATGAAAATTTGTTATAAGTTGGTTAGTTTGTGTTATAGTGCTTTTTGCTAAAACAATCATTTTTGTAATTTGTCTTATAGGTTGTTGCAAGGCTGAGTATGATTTTGGACTTGGGCCAAATAATAATAAATGTGGCCCAGCAGTTCAATAACAAATAGTGGAGCTAACTTAGTATCTAAAGTAAGCTAATCTACCTTCCATAACTAATTTACTACATTTCTTCCACAATAAATTCCGTAATCAATGGCCTTGCAATAATCTCAAAATTAGTTTTAATTTTTTTTTTAATAATCGCTAGTATGCTTTAGGCGCGTATTAATAAATAAATTATCGTGATTATGTACACATTCACGTGACATAATTATGAATTCCAAAATTAAAATTAAAGTATGCGTTCGCGCAACTTTGGGAAAAACAATCTTAGTATAATGAAATATTATTAATTGTGTACACGTACGCGTGACATGATTTTGGCACAATAAACAGAACGGATTCACACACGTGATTCATTTCAAAGATAATTATATATTTTAATAATAAAAGCGGACATAGTAAATATGGAAACCAATAAAGCATAGTTTATCCAAATTAATTCAAGCCAAGTTGTAGTCAATAAAGCGACCGTGCTAGAACCACGGGACTCGAGGAATGCCTTACACCTTCTCCCCGGTCAACAGAATTCCTTACCCGGACTTATTTACGCAGACCAATAATAATAGAGTTAAACCTTCCTTTGACTAGGGATTCAAATAAAAGATGACTTGGAACACCTAAAAATCAATTCCAAGCGGCGACTCTGAACAATAAAATAATCATTACTCAAGTTTGTCACTTTAATTGGAAAAATTTTTTAACCCATGACAATTCATAACAAATATCTTTTGTGGAGTAAAAAGGAGTGTGGCACTTGATTGTGTAATACTTAAGCTATATTCTCCGTAATTGTCTTTTATTTAGTTACCATATTGACATTGATTGTCATAATCTCAAAATTTCCATTAGCAATTCCAGATAACCCCAAATTTCATGGTAACTATAACAAAAACTTCATTATAAACTTAAAAGAATTAGTCCAAAGTCTGAACAATGACTAGAAAAAGTCCTCCGTTCAAGATCCCCTACTACATTGATTTCGCCTTTCTTTGTGCTCTCTTATTTTCTTCTTCTTCTTCTTCTCCAACATTTACTCATCTCAAATTTAACACATTCGACGTAAAAGGGAAACTATAGCTTATCATTAAAAATTAAAAGATGTATAGATCATCGAGTACAACTCGAGTTTCAGACGATTATTTCAATAGCTATTATTCTTCTTCGTCAAATTCATCACCCTCACAAAAGGTGTCTCCAGTACTAAGAGCTTTGTCTTTGGAAACTAATGAATTATTACCAATACATGAACCACTTTCGGATATTGCTAAGAAGGAAAAATCTCGTGCCAAATTTGCAGAAAATGCTGTTCATGTTATACCTTTGGTCTTGCTCTTGTGTGGATTTATCCTATGGTTTTTATCTAATCCAGGTATCTTCTATTCTATTACTCTTTTTTGTGCTAAATTTTTTTAATTTTATTGCGCCGGAAGATTTCCTTTATATACCTGTATTGCCTTTCCATACATGTACTAGTGAATTTTAGTACTTTTTATTCTTTGATTTCTATTACAGGTTATTATTTATTTGGCTTTGGTTATCTTATTTTTCTGATTGTGATTACGGCTTCTTTTTTCAAATTTATTATGATTATGTTTCTCGTGAGCCGAAGGTTTATTAAAAACAGTCTCTCTACTTTCACAAGGTTATGGGTGATAATTTATCCGTACAAATTATGTAGAATAAGACTAAAGTTCACATCTATATTGTATAAACTTCGAGCAATTTGGTCACATCCATTGATTCGTGAAAGAAAATTGTATCCAATGATAATTTAATATGCTAAACACTTGATAATCAATACATTTTCTCAATCCATTTGTCTTAATATATTATAATTTCTTCAGATTCGTTTTAGTGGTAAGTTATTTTTCTCCCATATCTCATCTTAGTAATCATTTGAATTGATCTCTTTCCTGAATCGATTAGACAGATTTCATTTGATTTTTGAACCTCGCCTACGCTGACATGTAATCATATTGTTAACATGTAAACCTTGTAAATCAATGTTTATTAGAGGTATTTTTATTGTAATTGGTATTTATCATAGAATTTTGTTTTTCAATGGATGGTGCAAAAAGATTTTATATACTTATAGTTATAGTTATAGTAATTGACTGGCTCTACAAACTGCTCACCTATTTTTCAAGTTACTAACGCACGCGTCGTAGTTTAAACATTTGCAGTTGGTTGAAAAAAGTGAACTGAATTTTAAACTCATTGTTATATATATAGTACTGTTTTTAGTGTCTAGTGCTACCTTTCCGAGAAGTTTAACAAAATGCAAAGAATATTACTATCTAACCACTAAAGATTATGGTCGGGGTTAAGTAAGCATCTATTTTTAATCAGACATTTCGGGTTCGAATCCTTTTAGGTGGGATGTCCCAAAAAAAAAAGGAGATCATATATCACAAATCCCATGAGACCTACAAATTTATTTATTGCTCTATTTTCAAGAAATTGTGTATGTAGTTTTAAATACTTTTATTAATCAACTAAAATAAACTTGCTTCTTAATTGTTTATAAAACAGATATTGATGCACCATTGAAAGGTGAAGCAATTGCTGGAAGAATAGAAGGATTAACACTTGATGGAGATCTTGATCCTGATGGCATGCATATTTCAAATTTACCTCTAGAATTGAGTGATGATGATATGATCAAGCAAGATGAAAATCGTCGAACATCTTATATGGAAAATAGATTTCCATAAATGTCTTTTTATATTTTCTTTTTCACTTCTTTTCATATCGAAATTCTCGCCATTTATGTTTTGAGGATTGCTCTTGCCAAAATATATTTGAGCGACGAAGTTATTTGGGATTTCATTATAGTATTTGCTAAGATGGTCTGGTCTTCAATTGACGTTATTATGTGGAAAAGACCTCGAGTTTCTCAAAGAGATATCACTGGTAGTTGTCTGGTACTATGTTTTTGTGTTTGACCTAGCAATTGAGGAGTGCTTCTTATCGTATACATTGAAATAGATCGNTTATCTCTCATAAGAGAAGGAGAGCCACTTTTTTTTTATAGTATATTAATGAGTAGGACTGAAATTCCAAGCGCTCCTAGCTCAGAAACCACACACAGACAAAGACATGGAGTCCCATAAAACTCATAAATAATAGACTAAGAAATATAAGTGACATACACTTCCTGTGTGAAGTTTTCATCTTAATGAATCAAAGCAGTTTGTAAAATGCTACTTTTCTTTCAGGAAAGTCCTATTTCAGGAAAGAATCTGTTGCTTTGAATTTGACAATCCGGTTTACTGTTGCTCTAGTTTTATTTCCAAAAGAAAGAACAAACCATATAATGTATACAAGACTAAATGAATGAAACTTAAACCGTTAGACTGCCAAAACGGTCGGAATGTGGTCAGAAAATACTAATTTCCAACCACATTCAGATCGAAATATCGTAGTCGCAAAATAGCTGGTCTGAAAAGGTTTGCGACCGAATCCGTCCGTAATTTGCGACTACTGCGATCGCAAAGTCAAAGTAGAAAAACGACTAATAAATGTCGCCAACTGTGCGACTGACGCGATCACAAATAATTTAAATTAAATTTTAATTTTATATTGACTTTCCCACTACTTCGGTCGCAAACGGTATATATAATTATAAATATATTTAATCTTTCTCACCGGAGTGATCGCAAATAATATAAAGTATTTTTATTTTATTTCAGTTTTTCCACTACTGTGGTCGCAAAACTAAATTTATTTTGTTTATTTATTTATGTTTTCCACTACTGCGGTCGCAAAACTAATTTTATTTTATTTATTTATTTATGTTTCATACTACTGCAGTCGCAAATCTAATTTAATATTATAATTTTTATTTAATTTTCCTCTACAGCAACCGCAAATGTTGATGAATCTGGAAAATTTGAAGCACTTTGTGACTACCGTGGTCGGAAAACTAGAAATGTTTTGGGAGATTTCAGCTGTTTAAAAGCACTACCACCCGCCAAATCAAATATACAGCAACTAAACAATTAATCCACCATTCCAACCAATCAATCCACTATTTCAACTAATCAAATCCATAAAATACAAACAATTATATAAAACATAAATATTTGTAACTAAAACATCCAAACACAAGTTAAACATTCAAACATCATTCAATCTAGTCTAAAACATTACAATCATAGTCAAATGTAAACCTTACTAAGTCTAAACATCCAATCACAACAAATAATAATGTCTCAAACATCACAACCACAACAAACTAAAACTCATCATCCCTGTCATCCTCGTCATTCAAAGGATCAAATGGACGTTTGCTCATAAATTTCTCCACTAAACTCCGCAATTTGTTAAAATTTGCGCGATCTTCTTTCCGTTCCTCCTTCAACTCTTCAATTTCTTTTCGTAATGCTTCCACCTCTTCGTGATTCTGCGAATAACTCGCATCACCAGACAACAATATCGTAGAACGACCTACGGAATATTGTGATCCAAAACCGTAGGTTCTACCTTTCTTTGCGCCACCAACCACCTGCGTCCATATTGAAGCTACATCATTGAGTGACACTTGGGTTGAGCTACCATCCTCGGAATCGGGTTGACGTTGACGTCATTCCTCAAAACGTTTTTGATAGGCTTCCTGAAATTAAAATATTCAGCATTAAATTATGTTATACTAATAGCCTATGGGCATATGCAGTCTTCAAAACATATTAGCTTCCTCTACTACCATATACCATGTTTCCTTTTGTCACAGCTCAACCTCGATCTATGGCCTTCTTCATGCATCTCAAGTGTCAAAATATTGAATAGGTGATAAGACAAGATAGAAAAACAGTGAACTGAAGCTAAAAGGTACATGGCTTTTTAAATCTTACAATACATTCCATGTATTCCTTCTATCCAATTAAGCTCTGGCAACTATAACTCTAAGAAATGGTTAGGATTACAAAAATCAAGTCTAATTAATAGTCTCCAGTTGCGATATAAGTACCTGACATTACATAATTAAGTAAATGAAATAGAAACTAATAAAGATAGTTGCTCAGAATGCAATGCATGTGTTTGAGCAAACTGGTCTAGTTAATATATTTCGACATGAACTTTACTAGGAAATGTACACTAAGAATATTTTCTCAATATAGTAACTTTATCACTTTAATTTCTGCAGGAAAGGAACGAAAAGCAAACTAGATCTAAAAATATTACTCTCTCCCATCTCTTCATTCATGAACTGGATATAACGTCTTGACATTATTTATTATTGAAGTAGGTATTCTAATCCATGATTTCAAAACAAGAGTAATTAAGTTAAACCACAACTGGATAGATTTTCTGGTTTAGCTTTGGTGATTAGTTTTAAGCCTATCGGCACCTTGTTTCTCGAAATTATGACTTATTTTAAGTTCTTTTTGTTTAGATATACCTTTGTACCACACTTCAATAAAACTAAAGACTTCTGTAATCTTTTAATAGCACCAGATTTCATCTTTATGTACAAATCAATAGCAGTTAAGAATTTTAATTTTACCATAGTGGACTTAAGTAAACTGTAAAAGGTTGGATAAAAAATACTACCTAAGGTACATTAGCTCTTAGCACAATCTCATAAGTATTTTCTGGAAGATTGCACCATTAGAAATTCAGAACAAATTAAAAATATGGATTCCAACAGAAACACTATCATCTTACAAATGTGAGTAAACTATACTTCGCCTTTCAGTTCCAAATTCCCTTTGTCATCTAATAGATGACCATAAGGTACAAGAAATTGCCATTTTCCCAAAGTCAACAAGACCTAAAAGACAGAAGCTGAACTGGACTGCTAGTCAAATGTAGACAATCACAAAACTAGTGAACCAAACGAAATAATCAGATGCAAAAGAATCCAATAGCATCACAAAGCTCGACAGAAAATTTACATGTACAACTGAAAGATCTTAGCCTTTCTCAAAAAATTAGAATTACCCAATTCAAAAAAAAAACTCCAAATAAAAATCGAAAAGAAAATACAGAGAAGAACCACAGATTCCAACATAAACACATATTAAAAACACATAAAGATTGTACCTTCTAATGAAATTAAAATTATCCATTTAAAGATTGTGCCTTAAAATTGAAGATAGAAAAAATAAAAGCAGAAAAAGGAAAGAGAAACTTACCGTCGCACAGGAGGAGTGGTTAGTGAGAAGAAAGAGAGAGAGTTGAGGAGTGATTAGTGATTTACAGCAGCACAGAAGGAGTGGACGAGAGAACGAAGAACAGCGACCTAACATGTGAAATATCGAGAGAGAGTGAGAGATAAGGGGGAATTGGGGAAATAGGCGGCCTAACATGTGAAATATCGAGAGAGAGAGAGAGAGAATGGGGAAAATTGGGAAAATAGGGTTTTGGCCTAAAATATTAGATTTAGATTTCTGACTATCGCAAACTCACTTAAATATTCTTTTATCATTTTAATTTTAATTTTGCGATCGAAGCGGTCACTTAGTTGGTCAACTGATAACTTTGACTTTTTATTGTCTGACTGAATTGGTCGCAGAAGTGAAGGCGGGAATTTCACGCGCAGATTTCTCACTGCTTTTGTCCGAATAATAGTTGCATTTCTTCTTCTTTTTTTAAAAGTAATAAAAAATCAATATTTTTTCGACTACTACAGTCGCAAAAGTAGTCCCATTAGCGACGGCTTCATTTTCAGTCAGAAATTTCAGTCACAAATTGATATTTTTCTAGTAGTGTGTCTTATTTTTAGAAACTTTCATTACACTAATTGGAGCATCTTCATATTGTCTCGAGGCCCATTCTTGTGATATTCCCGATAATGTGATATTAGAAAACTAGAAAAAGAAATTGTGATATTCACACAATTGTAAAATCAAAATTGACTTTACAGATAATGAAAATAATTACTTATACAACAAGATCAATATAGAACATTGATAGAAAAAAGAATTAAATAAAACTCCCAATAAAGTAAGAAAATGAAATTTATACCCATATATATATATATATATATATATATATATATATATATATATATATATAAATAGAAGAGTGAGGTGACACCTCTCTTTGGTCAAGAAAGCATATGGTTTTTCTCCTTTTTTGGCTTTTCCTCTCATTTTCTATTATATTAAATTTCTTTTTTTTTTCCAACATGAAGAATGTAAAGCGTTGCAACAATTCAACTAATGGTTACAATGATTGAATTAATATTAAAATGGGTCATTAAAGTTGCAACGATTGAATTGAAATAATAGGTCATTAAAGTTGCATAAGTGCCTTTTGGGCTACAAAATAGTCTTTCCATATTCCAAGCTTAAGTTTAAACTTCCACAAAAAAAAAATCATCCGATAGTTTGTACATTATTGTGTTGAGTCAAGTGCGTCTAGAAGTCCAAAAGAACTTACTGCACTTCTTGAGAAAAAATTTACATCTAAAGATCTGAAGAATTGGAAGAAGAGAAGGCAAGAGCTGAAGAAAAGAAGTCACTTGGTTGGCAGAAAAAAGAAAATTAACGATGGAGCGAAACCGGCATGATTTTACTACATCGCCTGCATCTATTTTGAGTGCAACGTTTCTTTATGAAACATATGTAAGACTTTTATGAGTCATTCTATATTTCACATATTTTTCTTCTCCATTCTCACCGGTACTTCATCAATGAGCAGTTTATGGCACTATAACAGCGTCAGAGATAAATACATCGATAAATTGTATCATTTTATTGATTTCATATTTTTTTGACAAATGAATGTCTTTAATTTGATAATTTTTGGTTACTTAACTTTTTTGATATCCTACTCTATGGCAATTATCCGACATCGTCATCAAACATCTATAGACGACGCAAACCCGATAATTAGTTAATATGATATCGTGAGGAGCAGATTAGAAAGGAACTTTACCAAGCCAATAGAGTGACTTGCTCTTGCAACAACTTTATTTTGCTTACAAGTGTCACGACCCAAAATCTAACCCGACGTGATGGCGCCTATTGTGGTACTAGGCAAGCCGATCTTTCCCAAATACTTTCAAAATTTAATAGAAATGTATTAAGACATTTAAAATAATTGGAGTTTTTCATAAAACGGGGGTAAAACCCAATTAAAACATAAGTGCGGAAAAATAGCCCGACATCGGGGTGTCACTAAGTCACGAGCATCTAACAACCAATCTAGAAAATATAGTCTACTACAGTCTGTGCCAAATGCCAATACAAGAGAGAAAAGATAATAAGAAATGAGAAACAAGGACTGCGGACGCTGACAGCTACCTCGTAAGTCTCCGATAGCCAGCTCGCGCACGAACTCAGCAACCGCTAGAACCGTACACACATGGATCTGCACATGAAATGCAGGGTGTAGTATGAGTACAACCAACTCAGCAAGTAACAGAATTAAATAAGAAATTGAGAAGCACTGACTAGCTATAAAAATACAGTTCATTTCAAAAAATTTCAGTAAAGAGTGAACATGCTTTCAAATCTGGTGGTGTAAGTCAAATTAGTTCGAGCTCAAGTAAAACAGATATGAATCTTCCAAAAATTCCACTACAACAACAGATAACAACTAAGTGCAAAAATAAAAATAAAAAGCAAGTACAACCTCTCAAGGCAGCAGTCACTCAACTCATCTCAACAGCTCATACTCTTGGCTCTCAGCCCTCAATACACACTCTCAATAAGTACTTGCGCTCACTGGGGGTGTGCAGACTCCGGAGGGGCTCCTTTCAGCCCAAGCGTTATATCGCTGCGGCGTGTAGCCCGACCCAATCATATAAGTAGCCATAAGGCTCGTTGCGGCGTGCAACCCGATCCACAATCCATAAATAGCCATGAGGCTTGTTGCGGCGTGCAACCCGATCCATATAACCTCACATAGCTTACATCTCGGCACTTAGGCCCTATCTCAGTCAATAACCTCTCCAGCCCCTCGGGCTCACAGAATATCATAATAATCAGCCCAAACAGAGAATACAACAAGTATCAATAAGAACTGAGAGGGAACAGAGATGTAACACACAAGTAAGACTGTAACTGAGTACAAGATAGATATTAGCAGTCAATTCAACAAGTATACGACCGTTGCGGGTCCCAACAGTGATATCATATGGCCTAAGCATGGTTTCTAACATGAAAGGCGGTCAATTGCTCAAAGACAAGGAAAAATAAGTAATAACAATGGCTATTCGACTTTACAGTCTCGCGGGACGGACCAAGTCACAATCCCTCACGGTGTACGCTCACACGCCCGTCACCTAGCATGTGCGTCACCTCCAAACACTCACATCATACCAATTCTCGGGGTTTCATACCCTCAAAATCAGATTTAAGACTGTTACTTACCTCAACCCGAGCAAATCTTTACTCCGAAATGTCTTTGCCTCTCAAATCGGTCTCCAAACGTCCCAAATCTAGCTACAAGTAAAACAATACAATCAATATAGGCTAAAGGGATCAATTCTACAAGAAAAGTACTAAATTATAGCCAAAAATCCGAAATTGGCCCGAACCCGGCTCCTAGTCCCACGTCTCGAAATCCGACAAAAGTCACAAAACCCGAAATTTCATTCACTCACGAGTCTAACCATACCAAATGTACTCAAATCCGATAACAAAATCTCATTCAAAACCTTAATATCCCAATTCAAGAGTTCTTCCTCTTTTTCCCAAATTTCTCACCCAAAATTACAAATTAGATGATAAAATTAAAGATAAAATCATGGGATTTAACTAAAACCAAGTAAGAATCACTTACCCCAATCAACTCCATGAAAATCCCTTCAAGAATCGCCCAATTCCGTGTTCTCTAGCTCAAAATATGCAAAATGGGTTCAAACCCTCATTTTTGAAATTAATACTGCCTGCCCAGATATCCTTCATCGCGATCGCGGAAAATTTCTCGCGATCACGAAGCACAACTATGCTGCCCCACATTTTTACCCTACGCGATCGCGGAATCACCCACGCGATCATGGATCACTGCCTTTCATACCTACGCGATCGCATCCTGCCTCATGCGATCACATAGAGTATTGGCCACACATCTCCTCCTACTCAAATCCTTCTACGGGAACGCGGCCTTAGCCACACGTTCGCGAAGCACATCTTCGCACACATACGCGATCGCGTTCCTAATTTTGCGATCGCATAGAACAAACTCACCTCTGCCCCAAATAAGCTTACGCGATCATGAATGAATACATGTGATCACGTACAAGGAAACCAGAACCTTCTCAAACCAGAACTTCAGCTATCAAGCCAAGTCCAAAAATGATCCGTTAAGCATCTGAAACTCACCCGAGGTCCCCGGAACCTCAACCAAACATACCAACCAATCGTAAATACCATACGAACTTAGTCGAGCCTTCAAATCACTCAAAACAACATCAAAACACTAATTACACACTGATTCAAGCATAAAGAACTTCTAAACTTACAAATTCCACAAACGACGCCGAAACCTACCAAACCACGTCCGATTGATCTAAAATTTTTCACACAAGTCATATTCAACATTACGAACCTATTATAACTTCCAAAATCGAAATCTGACCCCGATATTAAAAAGTCAACCCCCGGTCAAACTTCCCAAAATTCGACTTTCCCTATTTCAAGCCTAAATTAGCTACAGACCTCAAATTCACAATCTGGACACGCTCCTAAGTCCAAAATCACCTAACGGAGCTAACGGAATTGACGGAACTCTATTCTAGAGTCATCTTTATACACTTCCGTCTACGATCAAAATCCTAAGACTTAAGCTTCCGTTTTAGGGACTCAGTGTCCCAAAGCACTCCGAAATCAAAAATAAGACCTCTTGTTAAGTCACATAAGCAGAAACAGATACGGGAAAAACAGTGAATATGGGATCGGGACTAATACACTCAAAACGATCGGCCGGGTCGTTACAATAAGGTTTAGGTTATCTTTATGCCAAGGGCTATACATGGAGTGCAAAGAATAACAACACTAAGATATATATTGTTAAAGTTATATTTGTTATAAAATATAACTCAAAGTAATAATATGGAACAAGGGAAAACAAGCTAAGAGATATATAGAGATAGAGAGAGAAGATTCTTATTTCTTCTTCAATTGTGTGTATTTTCCTATCTATTACATGATCTTTATATAGGCATGAAAAGTAAAGAAAATATTTCATTGAATATGTCATTAAACATAGAAAATATGTCATTAAATATGTCATTAAGCATTTGAGATGAATATCATGAAGGAAGAGTATACATCTACCATAATTTGATATTTCTTATAACACTCCCCCTTGGATGTCCATAGATAATGTGCCTCATTAAAACCTTATTAGAAAAAAAATTCTAGTGAAGGAAAAAGTATACATGTAACGACTCGGCCGGTCATT